TTTACACCCTGCGTGGTGCGGTGGGCGCATCCAGTGCCCGTCCATCCTGTGCGCTGCTCCAGCCTTTTCCTGTCCCGTGGAAGCACGTTGGGTTTGTGCCACTCTAGAGTGAGAAAAGATTTGGGATGGGTTCGTGGAAAGTAGAAACCAGTCACATCAGGTGCATCCTACACTCTTGTTGCCCTCATGTGAGCAACTGCCTTAGCCGGAGAGGTGGATCGTGCTCTCGAAGCTTTCTCTGATAATTTTGATTTCTTCACCCCTGATATGGGGGTGAGCAGAGAGGAGGATGCAGCTGTGCATCCACATCTCCCCTCGATTCCCCAGCCCTGCCCTCTCCAGTTTGACAATGTCTAGACTCGATTTATTTATTTGTTTTTAGCCAGAGCTCGCTGCTCTGCGGATTAATTCCAGTTAGATAACTGGTCTGGGTGCCGGAGGCTTGCCAGTCCTCCAGGGTTTGTTCCTGGATGTTAACATTTGTGGCTTACTAGAGTAATTTGCAAACGCGTTTACTTGGAGTCAATTGGCAATCAGTTAACTGAAGTTAAAAAGGAAAAGGGGTGGAGGGAGGAAATAATCATACAAGCCTCCTTTGCAAAATGCTTTGGGATCTGTGTTATTGGCAAAAAAACCCCCAGAATAATAGAAGCTAGGTAGTGGCAACACAATAAAAAAGGGCTCAATTCTCTCTGGAATATAAAAATGTAACTGGCAGGAGTCTGCTTCAGCTGCTGTCTGCACATTACCTTAAAGAGGAGAACGCTGCAGCAAAGTTAGATATTATTATAGTTTCTACAGGTCCTTTTTACCTTTTAGTTTTACCTTTTCAACACCACCTACTAAGCCGTTCTCTCCCCTTGTAATGATCCACCGAGTAAAACAGTTTGTTGTGCGTTGTTTTCAAATTTCAGTTACATGCCAAGAAATCCTTTCATTAAAAACAACAACAACAAAAAAATCCATGCAGGGCAAATTTCATTTGAAAAAAAAAAAAGAAGATAGGACCGTGCCGCTCATCTGGCTGGGATCTAAAGGGCCACATCCTGATCTTGCTGGTTCTGGCAGAGACGGTGCGATGTCAAAGAAGGCTCAGCCCCTATTTAGTCGTGCTGGGCAAGGTCAGGGTTGGGGTTGAGATGAGCTGGGAGCCTTGGCATGAAGTGGGTCAATCAGATTTAAGCCCAGGCTGATTTTAGCTGGTGTAAATCAGTGCAGCTCTCTTGGAAGTTGGTGGGGTTACCTGGATGTATGCTGCTGGTGTCTGCACCAGTTTAGAGCTGCTGGAGATCTGGGCCACTGAACCTGCTGGGCTGCTGGTCTGGATGGAGTTGGTCTAATTTCCTGTGGGTTATTTTCTCCAGTTTTTAAGCGCAGGATCCCCCATCTGTCTGTCTCTGCAAAGCTGGCTTTCCTGTCTGCAGGCCTGCACAGAGACCCTCCCTCCTCCTCCCCCTGCTTCTCACACCATCCACTGCACCATGCGTCCTTTTGTCCGTTTCTCTATCCTCCCTCCCCCTCTCGCCGTGCTCGCTCCTTGGCCGTTTCCCTTTGGCCGTTTTGGGGTGTCTCGCCTCAACACCCCTAATTCTCCTCCTCCCTCGGGGGGATGACAGCAGTCTCCATCATCTTTCCTCCATCCCTAACTCCCTCCCACCCTCTCGTGTAACTCGCTTACGTTTGCCCTCATTCATGTCTATTCCTTGCCACCGTTTCCTTCCATCTGTCCCCAGCGTGGAGCCCCAGTCCTTTGTCACTGCTCTGCTTGCCTGACCCTCCGTGTCACCTCCTTGATTGTCTCCTGTCGTGCTTGGGCTCAGATCCCTCTCCCCCCACACGCAGTCATTGTCCCATGGCTTAGAAAAACGCCGAACCCAAGCCCAGCCCTGACAAACGCCTACCTGCGGGTTTTTTGTTTTGGTGTTTTGGTTTTTTTTTTGCAAATGGGAGCAAGCCTTGCACTCCTGGGAGGCAGAACGTGGGTCACTGAGGGGTTTGGCAAACGCTGCTTCAGTCTGGGGTGATGCACGGGAGTCATTTTCAGCAGGGATGCTCACTGGGTGATATCCCTGGGGAAATGGTGGCATCTCGGTTAATCTTCCTAAGATGGAATCTCCATCTTTGGAGCGAGCGGCATAGGAGCGGGGCAGGGAAATGTCTGCCAGGGATGGGTCAGGGAGAGCCCAGCCTGCCCTGGGGCTGCGGGAGGGCAGAGGTGACCCCTTAGGGTTCTATCCTGCCCTCCTCGGGGTGCACCTGGATTCTGTGATTTTGTCCGTGTGGTTTTATTCTACAGTTGTGTCGTGCCTGACACCGTGAAGTCCTGTTCTTCGAGTTTCCTAAGTACTAATAATACAACACTGTAGATGACCAGTTGGTCCACATCAACTGTTTAGAAACTTTACTAAACAAAGCATTGCCCATGTACTTCGGGGTGCAGACTCAGAGGGGAGTAACACGTGAGCGACGTTGGACTTGGCAGGGGGTGGATTTGGTTTGGATTTTGGGGGATTTGCCCAGCCCCTTCTCCGGGTCAGATCTAGCATTTCCCTTCCCCAGGAACGTGGAATTAGTGGCTTAGAGGCGAGTTTCGTGCAGCAGCAGCGCGATGCTAAGTATAGGAAGTTTTGCAGTGACACAGAGCAAGAGACAGCTCTTCTTCCCATTCCACAAACAGGGGACTGAGGCTCGGAGAGCTGGAGTAGCTCTGAGGAGTTAGAAGTCGACAGCAAAGTCAGGATTTGCCGGCACGTGTCCTACGCCGATGCCAAGCCCCTCTGACAGGCGGTGGGGTTTCGAAGCTACGCCGGGAGGTTTCGTGTTCACGCAGCCTCCTGCAGTTTGACGAGGCTGCACCCCGGTGCCCATGCGATGTTGCAAGATGCGAGCGCGAGCTGCCAGGCTGAGCGCGCTTTGTGCAGCTGTAACTATTGGTCGTACCGTGCGTGGCGCCAGCCGCCACTGCGAGCGCGGGGAATTTTTTTCTTGTCTGCTGGAGTGGCACGAGGCTGTGTTTTTATCGCTAAAGGTGCGGGGTTCGATTCTTGCTGACGATACGCGGTGGTGGGATCGTTACGTTCCTGTAAATACCCCGATGTCACAAGTCTGTGTCTCATGAGACGAGCTGCGGATAAGTGGCAGCACTAAGTGAGTGGCAGCCCTGAACTCCCTGCTGGGAGAGATGTTATTTATTAGGATCTGTATAAATAATAACGTTCCAGCCCACAAGCTGAGGAATCTTAATTTCTTGGTTGCAGAAGCATCGTTTGCAAGTCATCTTGTGTTAAAAGTATGATGTCAGTGGAGTATGTTGAGAACTTGCTGGGTGTCAGATGGTCAGAGGAGAGGACAGGAGATGGGCTCCTTTTGGGGAGAGAAGATGCGGGGTGGAGGATCTCACAGAGGTTTCAATGGCATATCCCGACCCTCTTGTTCCATGAGCCCTGAGTCAGCCACCTGAATTCTTGGGAAACCAGGACAAAATGCTCATCTTACTCCATCTGCCCTGGAGAATCACATTTTTAAATTTTTCTTAGAGATCCAAGCTTAAAGCAGACCTCCCCGCAGAGGAAGCCCCGGTCTGTGTGGGAACTTGGTGCCAGGCTTTGAAAATGCCTTCAGGCACCGAGTAAGGCTTTTGGAGAGAGGGGTCAGAGGGACAGCAGCAGGGAAGGTTTCCAGAAGCACTTTACAAAACTGTGCCACATCTGTAAAGATACTATGTACTTGATGGCATCTGAGTGTCATCAAGGAACCTGGAGTCGCACAGCTGGCTTTAAACCCCTCTAAAAAAAACTGATTTGGAAGCCAAAGCACACTGAAAAGTCTCTTGCCTTTTTTGGAAAGGCAGAAAGATGTTTTCTGAGCTGTAACGAGCAGGGGGAATAGGCTTGGTGGGCTCTGGAGGGGTGGTTACCGATACACAAAAGCAGTGGCATGGCCGGTGACCTCAGGAGAGGGTCCGAGCGCCCGGACCGCTGTGGCGGGGAGGTGAGTGGCCATCAGTGTTTGATGCACTGGACAGAGTCATGGGCAGAACGCAGCCCTTGGCTGGACGGCCTCCCGCCATGGCTGTGAGCGCCGGGGTCTGTGCACAGCCCGCGGCGGGGTCTACGCGGACGCGGGAGGGCAGCCCTGCCCCGTTTCTTGCTGCTTTGGGCCCTGAAGCAAACACTGGCGTGCTGCTACCTCCTGGCCTCCCAGCAGTGGCGATGTTTGGTGTCCCACCATCTCTGAGGTGGGGAGCCCAAATTGCTGCTTCTCCACTAGCCCCCCAAAAGCGACCCGGGTCACACTTCACCCCAAAAAGCCCCACAGTAGGACAGTGGTCCCTGTGCAACTCCTCTGAGTTGTGGCAGACATCTGTCCCCTCGCGTGCCCTGTGGCGACCAGGCTCTACATCGGCCATGTTATCGATGTCCCCCTGCTTTCTCCTGTCATCTCCAGCCTCCCTCATGGCCCTGTGTGTCAGCCATCCTGTCGCGAGTGCCACGCTGACGAGGCGGGAGCCAGGGTGGCCATCTTCTCCCTGGGGCAACACGGCGCGGCCTGGGCCTCGGCGGCACAGACATCCTCACAGGGGACCGCTGGCCCACGGGGAGCTCATTAATCCACCCCCTCCGGCTTCCCG